CCCCCAACAAGCAATCGCGGACGATCAGCAGCAGCGCTCGAAGATATGGTGGGTTTACCTCCCGGCAAAGGTTCTCCGCACAAAACATCATATATCTGTGGACAGCGCCATGACGTGGCGAGTGTGGCCCGCCACTTAATATGGCCATTGCCCCTTGTCGAAATCTATTGTTCTACAAAGTCTTCCAAAAGAGACGAATCAATACTGACCACCGACTCATCTCGAACATTGCTGCTGCCTTGCAATTAGCCCTTGGTTGCGCAAAGGCTAGAGTGCACCCTCAAACAAGGCCTAATCTGGACCAGGAGGCCGAGTAGTACAACAGCCCACAACGCCTACAACGATGAATTCCTCGACTCTTACATTTCTTCAGTCTACATTTTCTGCACTCAGCGATAAACATGAGACCGTACACACACTCATACCTAAACAATGCTCCCCCATATCACCTTCACCCCCCCCTGATACACCCTCTCGGGTTATTCAGACGTTCGTACTAACAGTAGTACCTCCGATGGAAACTCTGCTGTTGTTCTCTCGTGTCATATCCCGACTACTGTCCAAGTTTCATCGAATCCTACACCAACCGAAGCCCTCTGCGCCTTCTCGACGCACGCCGATCAATCCCGACAGGCAGCGAGCATAATGAAGTCCGACACGCAAAGAGTCGTAATCTCAATGTAAGCCTACGCAAAGACCGCGAGATCTGGTGGACTCAACGCGCGTCAAAGATAAAACGGGCTGCCGCTACGGGAAACTACTGTAAGCTGTTTCATGTCATCCGTGTCACCGGTACGGAAGCCTTGGGTGTAATCGAAACGACCTGCGAAGCTGACGGCTCGCCCATTTGTAATCAACAGTGTCGTCTTGCACTCTGGAAGGAGCACTTCAGGGCACAGCTTTTTGAGGAACGGAGTATCTGATAAGTGTGTCGTTCTTCGAATAGTTGTATCGTCATACTTAAAGTCGGGTCAGGGCCCATGGCGAGCTTTCTCCTCTCTTTGCGGTCTCCAGCGGAGTTCGACAAGGTTGCCCTATATCTCCATTCTTCTTCAACTTTTTCATTATATATATTCCACACACGTCTGACGCCAAACGGTGTGCCAAACAAATCATAGTACAAAAATCTTTGCAAGAGAAAAATGTTCCACGATTTACATTGAGGATGTTCTATGTCCGGTCTAGCAAACAGTGGAGTCGAACTCCTCCCAGGGAACAGAGTGCTTGACTTAGAATATGCCAATGAAATCGTCTTGCTTGGTGACAATACACTGCTTGACGATAGAGGTATCCAGGTATAGTATGTACCGCCGTCTAAACGCAAAGTGCTTTTTCAAGACTGGCAGGAGCCTGTGCCTGCACTCACCCTCTGTGATGATCAGCTAGAAGTAGTGGAAAGCGCTATGTACATCGGGAGCTTGATCACAGCTGGTGGGGGTGTTGGAGAGGAGATCATATCACAAATAGCGAACGCTAGCGCCACTTTCGCCAACCTGCGTCATCTGTGGCGCTGCCATGACATCCGACTGTCTGTTAAGGGAAAGGTGCACATCACCGCGTTGAGGATGCTAACCGACTTTCTGTTTCCGACCATCGATGTCTCCGAAGCATTGCCCGTGTCTGGTGTGAACATCAGGTAAGCAAGCAAGTTCATCGTCCTGTGTTGGGTGTAAATAATCGCTCTCTAACAGAAGTAGTCGGTCTACCCCGCCTCCGATGGTTTGGTCACG